CATTAATATGGATCATGCCATACATTTCATTCACAGATTTAAAAATGCACTTCAAAATGAAGCTAATATTGTTTCCCATTACGTATATGTGTGCGGTAGTATGTCTGTACTTCTGTGAGCACACACATGCATTTTCCTCTATGAGTATAGTGTAAAATTGGGAAACACCCTGTGTAACAGTTCTCTATCTGCCAGAGAATGGACTAAATAGCTGCAGTGCACCAGAGATTTGACTGCAGAATGGTGATAATTGCCTGTTCATTTGTGTTTTTGTGTTTTGGTTTGGTTTTGTTTTGTTTTTTTTTTCCCACCAAGTCTCCATGATGTGAGAGTTCCTTGCCTGCGTAGAAATTTACAGGAATTGTCAGGAAGATTTTTTCAGAGCTTGGCACTGGCACAGAGATCAGAGCAGTCTCCTTGTTCAGCATTCAGAAGAACATGGCTGAGGCCATGCAGTTTTTGAGTGACTAGGCCTGGACATATTTTCACAAAAGGATTTGACAGCATTTGAATAAAGCTAGGATAGAGAAACCAGTAGAGGGAACTGGTGCTTGGCAGAAATACAAGGTAGAACAGTTTGGAAACTTTGAATACAGAGATGGTTTGCCAGAGCTCTGAGCTTGGACCTCTACAAGTACAAACTTCATTGCTGCCTTTGCTGTTAACCCATTACTGCCAAAATTAACAAGAGGAATGACATATGCAATAAATGAGGCCTAAGATCCAAGTCCATGTATTTCCTTCCCAAAGAAGATTTCAAACTATGGCAAAGGTTCAGTCACTCAGCAACTTCTTAGAACCTGAACTAGGTGTTTTATTCACAAATGTCCGTATATACTGTATCTAACACCATACCTCATTATCCTGTACTTTCTGCACATTAAACCTATATGATAGGTCTGAGTTTAGGGTGACAACATCTTAGAAGGGTGGTAATGTCAATAACAGCCTATACTGTAAAGTAGCAAAATTCATTTTGTATAGGCCATGCATAGTACAAATGAACCCACTGTTCATATTTGTAGGATTTAAAAATAAAGACTACAGTGATAATGGGCGAAAAGAGACAATGTAACTTTTTATAAAGGTCTTCCATGAGTCTCTACATCTGCTAGATTCTTCATAAAGATTCATATATCTTAACTATTACTGTCCCAGAGCTCATCATTATTTGTCCTGGCAAGGGAAAGAAAACCTATGGTTATCATGCATATGTAAGATGTACACTGGCACAGTTCCTTCGAATACACAAATAAGTAAAGAAAGTTTTTACAAATCTGTATACATATATACATCATGCAACTAAGCACTAGTAAACCAGATAGGAAAAGTACTTTCATTCCTCACTCTCCTTGCTATTTAAAGAGAAATATACTGTATATTTGATGGTACTGTCAACGATAATTTAAGAGCGCCACTATATAAAGTTTAAGAGCACTGCTTTCAACCTTTATTCTCTAGACATTTTTCAGTTCATTCAAGTCAATGAGAGTTCTGTATGTGAAAGAACATCAGAGAGGTATGAGTAACATGTTATTGTCTAAGCCACTGAAACTTAAAAATCAGTTTACAGAAAATGTAAGTATGCTATAAAGATGACACTAAAGATAAAAAGTGATATGGTTTTTTATAGATATAATAATTGCAACAAACAGTTTTTGCAAATGTAGGTAAATTGGAAATGATGAATTGCAGTTATAACATTGCTCTCATTTCTGGTAGTTTCTAAAACAGAAAACACACTTTCTGTCATTACAGATCACACAAACTACGTGCTAAAATAACAGAAGTTTGCTAAATCCCATTTCAATTTCCAAATAGATAATTTTAGACAGGATATTGGACAAACTGCAGATACCTGAGGTACTCAAATACTAAAGCTGGCCTTTTTTGTTTGTAATTATTTAACCTCCTAGAATATGATCATTTTTTAAGATATAAATCTGAACTGATACATGTATTTTCATCAGTGTGGTATACCATCAACTTTTACAGCAACAGAAAAAGAACACCTGTCTTTACAGTGTTTATAACAAGCAGAATTAAGCGAGGATATAAAGTCTCAAAGTTGTTACACAATTTCTTTGTTATGCAGAAAAACTCCATAAAACACCCCATTTCAAAATCTGTTTCTTATTAGGCAATTACATAAAAGGAAAATAAAGATACTGTATGATTTACTGATATGCATTTTGTCCAAATCAGATTAGTTTATCTCTTTTCTCTATCCAAATTTAAGTACTTTAAAAATGCATAGCTACAGCCCTTTTCTGGCAGGACTTGCAAAACAACTTTCATTTTAGATAGAACTAGCAAAACTAAGCATCAAAATCTAAGCTATTAAGTAGTGCATATAATGTTCAAACTAAGAAATTAGTTATTGTCAAAAGCAGTGGTAACAAATGGGGTCTTTCTGACAGAGCCCTGATCCTGCCATTGGTACTCCCTTCTTGTGCGCAATGTTTCTGATGTTCTGAACATAACTTGTGCACACAGGATCATCCCCTGTAGATCTGCCCCCAAATTCAGATAACATAAGGGAAGTGCTTAAGTTTCTGTGAACACTTAAGTCTGCTCTTTTTCAAGAAAGCACTTACATGCAGACTAGACCATAAAACAGTTCTTTGTGTTAGAAATCTCCAATAACGCAGATCTAATTTTATATCACCTGTTCCTTAAGAAACATAAACTTTGATCTATAGAAACAGATACGTGCACACACAGCAAAAGGCAGTGATGAGATCTGTTCTGTGATGCCATAAGTACATGTAGGCATGCATGCGCAAGGAGATGAAAAGCATAAGAGGATAGCCATAAGGACTGGGGAATAGAGAGTCCGTATACTTTTTGTGAGGAGACTGAGAAAACCTGGCTCAGTTAGTCCTACAGAATGAATGCTGAGAGAGGATATGATTGCGGTCTATTAATACATCCTGAGATAAACACCAGGGAGGGAGAAGAGCTATTTCAGTGGAGGACAATGTTGGCAGGAGAACAAATGACTATAAAGCAGCCATGAGTTACACTTATCCTGGAAACTGGAAGATTTCTAATTAGGAGAGGACTGAGTTTCTGGAGCAGCTTCCTACATAAGCAGTAGCAAGGGCAAAATACTGAAATACTTCCCAACTAACACTTGATCAGATTATGAAAGGGGCTGTATGATATGGCTGCGTGCAACTGTAGAAGACCATATGCAGTGAGCAAGCAGATGCCTCCCAGTCCTGTGTTCCCTCACTTACTACTCACTAGCTCATAGGTCAGCCACAGAGCACACTCTGTAGGAACTCTTTTCATTTCCTGGTTCACAGAGAAATTGAAGACATTACTAGTGAAATCTTAAAAAAATTACAAAGGATGTGCAATTTAAGTGAATTAATCATCCTACAGGACCCTTAATGTGTTTGCATCTTCTGGATTTCTATGGGTATGCCTTCTGTTTTCATTAACTGCTCTTTAATCCCTAGTGCCTCAAACTCTAAAAATACCTATGAAATAAGTAATGCATTAGTGCTCCAACACTGACGCTTTCACTTGGGACCATCTGTGCAAGCTGCAGCGTGCACGTATTGATCGTCAAGAGACCTGTTGCATTCATTTGGTTTCTTATGCAGCACGGCACAGCCATCTCCACCAGTTCAGCACTCTTTCACTCTGCCACTTATTTAGTAGTTGTAGATTTAATCCTCTTGTTAAGTAATGTATGCTAACATGGTCCTATCTCTACATTTTGCTGTAACATGCTAAAGTAAGTACATTAAACACTGAAGTATACAATCCAGAGTATTTTTGATCTCCTAGCAAAGAAAATATCGTATTTTCCCTAAAGAAAACTACCTTACTCAATGTATATTGAAATAATATGAAGTAAAAATGTTTTCAAGTGCCACATCCAAGACGGCAAACGTACTTTAATTCCACAGCTTTTGTCAGAATTAATGAAAGATATACAGCTAAAGTCCATGAAGAAAACAGTTTAGTCTACACATAACAGCAGGAGGAACACACTCAGTTAAAGCTCATCTGACATTAGACTTGATTTCATGCTGACCTTGCTCTGCTGGCAGATGCTTTTCCACCTGTGTTTTGGCTTATATATGTATGACATCCTCAACTGCAAATTAACTGTAGTTAATTTTATGCAGATTAATTCTGCTGAAAGTCACATATTAAGAGAGTAGGAGGTTGAAGTTGTAGTGAAGTGGATGCCAGTAACGTCCACATCTGATTTCTAGAAGATTGGCAACACTTTAATTTTCTTGGGACTCTACATAGGATATTGCTGGAGTTGTGAAAGTTTAAGCCAGCAACACGACTGCATCC